AGTGTGTAGAACAGAATGGAAGGAGACATAAATGGAGACAAGGACACTACTCTTGTAGCACAATTTCGATAGTTCTAAGATATGAGCAGGGACTGAACTAAGGTGGGAACAGAAGAAATCAAAAGGATGAATTGATTCAAAAGGCATTTGGAAGACTTGATAAATGATGGGATCTGTTGAGGAGTGAGGGAGAAAAAAAATCACTTTTAGAGGGTTTGATGGAAGGTGGAGAGATGAGACTGAGGAATGGGCATATGTGGGAATCTGTACAGAGGGGTGGTCAGGGGAGGGAGCATTTGCCTAGGCAGTCTACAGCTCAGAATCAAAGGGATTTGGAAGCCCCAGGGTAATAGATTGCCCCACCTTTCATAGCAGAAAAGGTAATGCTGATTTGTCAGTCTCTGAGAAAGAGGTGAAAAGAAGCGTGTGGTGTGGGGTGTGTGCACAGGGGTGCGGGGTGCTGGGGTGGACAGGACCAAGAGGAGGAGTAAAGTCCTTGGTCTTGTCTGATAATAATAGGTAACATTTATTTAGTGCCTACTTATGTGCCAGGCACTATGCTAAGCACCCTACCAGTATTATCTCATTCAATTCTTGCAACAACCCTGGGAGGGTTTTGACCGTGAAGAAGTTAAGAGGAACAACAGGTTTGGCAGAAAGTTGATGTTTTAAACATACTGTGTCTGATGTATGGCAAGTAGGCATTTGCAAATTTGAGTCTGGAGCTGGGAAGAGAAGTAGGGGATGGAGAATCAATCATCTACACAAATGGGGCCATTGAGGTCATGGGAGTGGGAAAGGTTACCTTAGGAGAGAATATCAAGAGAGAAGAAAAGCCAGGGAAGGTGACAGAAAAGAACTGATCAGCAAAGCAAGAGGAAAACCAAAATGGCGCCCTGTCATGAGAGCCAAAGAAAATATGAGTGTCAAGAAGAAGGGATCGTCAGTCGACAGAGAAGCTAAAGAGGATGAGGACTGAGGACAAGCCTTTGGATTTGTTGAGTAAGTCACTAGTGACTTAAAAGAACAATTTTTATAGAGTGGTTGGAATAGAAACCAGATTGTGAAGGATTAAAAAATTAGTAGAGAGATGAGGTATAGTGGAAATGGCACAGGATTTGGGCTCAAGTCCCAGCCTCTTCATTTGTTAGGCAGGTTACCAGTCATATACCCTCTTTGGGCCTGTTTCCTCGTCTATAAAGTGGATTGTTGTAACTAAAGCAATTCATAAACCTTAAAGTCCTACATAAAAATGATTGTTGGGGAAGTGGAGGGTAATGAGGGTCTGGCGCACGTGCAGACCCCATCAGTTTGTTCAGCTGTTGTAATCTCTCCTATAGAGATGGCCTCAGAGAAGAAAAGCCCACAAGTCACACTCTCATTAAAGGAATGTAAATTACTTTTACTGGGAATTTGGTGGCGAAAGGGGAGATGGGCTTGTAACTTGAAGAGTGTGCAGGTGGAAGGAAAGGTTGTTTAGGTTTGAGAGGACCTGAATATAGGATTATAGATATAGGCAGCTAGATGGTGCAGTGGATAGAGCACTGGACAGTCAGGAAGACCTGAGTTCAAATACTGTCTGAGACACTGACTTGCTGTGTGACTCTCAACAAGTCATTTAACTTCTTTCAGCCTCAGTTTCCTCATCTGTATAATGGGAATAATAATATTACGTGCCTCCCAGGGTTGTTGTGAGGATCAAATGAAATAATATTTGTGGAGCATTTTTCAGACCTCAAAGTGCTATATAAATGCTAGCTGCTATTATATTCCAATGCCCTAATTTCATATACAAAGAAACAGAGACCCAAGAAAATTATGTGACTTACCCAGAGTCACAGAGACAGGTAGCATTAGATACAGAATCTGAACCCATGCCCTCTGAGTCCAGAGTCAATGCTCTTTCCACTACACCTTGTGTTTGTGAGCAGAGGAGGGAAGGTGTCAATAGAGTAAGATTGAAAATGCAGGGAGATTGTAGTGAATCAGAGGGTCCTGGGTAACTAGATGAAAGATAAAAGCACAGCAATCACATGCTGACTTCCCTCCTATGATGGAACCGCATGCCCACCCCTGCTCCGAAGAGAGAATCCATGCCTATTCATGGCCACACATGAGAAAAAGTCAACCTTGGTAGATGATATGGATGGCATGTGGGACTTGGGGAAAAGTCAGAAGCCTACCTCAGGTGCTTACTTACTTCAAGAAGAGCAAGTTACTTTCCTCTAATAGGAAGGACCTTTTGTTAATAATAGAACAGGACTTTCAGAGGGCACAATGGAAGGGTAAGGAAAAGCAAGGTAGGGGCACTGGAGAGATGAGTCTGAGGAATGGGCATATGTGGGACCCTGTACAGAGGGGTAGTCAGGGGAGGGAACATTTGCCCAGGTGAAGTTTTCTGGGACCCAGAGTCAAAGGGATTTTGGAGCCACAGGGCAGTAGATTGCCCCACCTTTCACAATAGGAAAGGTAGTTTCATCAGAGACATGGGAATACTAATAATGATACTTGTATGCCCACTTCACAGTATTATTGTGAAAAGACTTCTTGGCAAACTTTAGAGAACTATAGAAATGGGAGTTGTTATGACCCCAACAAAATAGAAATGCAGAATACTACTGCAGAATAGTCACGATTTTTATGTCTCATGTATCTCTTAATGAAGTAAGCTGGGGGAAGGATCATCTTTTTTTTTTAAATTGGATCCTTGAAGTATTGAAACTCCACTAAAGTACAGCTCTGGAAGGTCCTACAGAAATATAAAGGACAAATGGACTGTATCATCTGAAGGCCAGCTTATCTAAGTGAGGGGAGGGAAGAAGAAGAGACTAAGCATTTATATAGTGCCAACAATATGCCAGGAACCCTGAGAGATAGGTGTTATCATTCCCACTTTATAGCTGAGGAAACTGAGACAAACAGGGGTTAAATGACTTGCCCAAGGTCACACAGCTAAGGAAGTCTCTGAGGCTGGATCTGAACTCAGCTCTTCCTTATTTTAGCCCAGCACTTTATCTACTACACTCCACTACTACCTTGCTAAGTAAGGAAAGGCTCATCACCAGAATAACCAGGTAGAATGTAAATGCTTTGAGGGCGGTAAATGCTTGTGTTTTTTTTTTTATCTCAGTATTCCCCTATGCCCAGGGCGCTACCATCAGGCATTACCTACTTCCCAGGGTCGTTGAGAGGATCAAGTGCTTAGCAAAATGCCTGGCACATAGTAGGCACTAAATGAATGTTAGTTATTATTCTCAGAGAAGACCAAGGATTGGACTCCTACCTTTGGTGTTGCCCACCTCAGTACCCCCTGCACCAGCACCCCACTCCCCTGTACACACTCCACCACCACACACCTCTTTCCACCTCTTTCTCAGAGACTGATAAATCAGTCCTATTGTGAAAGGTAGGGAATCTACTACCCTGTGGCTCCCAAATCCCTTTGATTCTGAGCTGTAGAGTGCCTAGGCAAGTGCTCCCTCCCCTGACCACCCCTCTGTAAAGGGTCCCTCATATACCCATTCTTCAGTCCCATCTCTCCAGTGTCCCAACCCTACTTTTTCTTACCTTTCTGGAAATCCTGTTCTATTATTAACAAAAAGTCCTTCCCGTCACATCTGCACAGCCCCTTTCCAAATATATATATATATATATATATATATATATATACATGTATATATATATACATGTATATATATGTACATATATATGTGTATATATGTATGTATATATGTATGTATATATATGTATATATGTATATATACGTATATGTGTGTGTACACATGTATGCATATACACAATACATGTGTGCCTATATCCATATATGTATACATGCATACAATTGTTTTTAACCATATTTGTAAAATGACGTCGTGGTTGCCACTTGGTGCCATGATGAGAATTACTAGACTAGTTGACTTGGTTTCTTTTAGAAATTTTTACTAAATAATTTAATCTTTGTGAATATTTATTGACATAGGCATTGGTACAATGAGTTGGCCATTGACCCCAAATTATTTTGATGTAAATACGTGTCATTATGTAATTGTAATGTTTCAGTGCAATATGTTTAGGACTTTATATGTATTAATTTTCCCTGTAGTTGTGATAAAAGTTAATGATAGTGAAGCAACCAAAAAAACCAAAAGATCCCCCCTCCCCTTCCTGTATGCTCCTTGAAGGCAATAATTGTTTCCTTTGTCTTTGAACCCATAGTTTGCCTGGAACATAGTAGGACTTAATGTGTGTTGCACTGCATTGCTAGGGCTTGCCATAGAGGTGGCAAATTAATTTTGGGCACATGGTCCCAGGTTATCATCTTCAGTGGAGGCCTTTTCCCCCAGCCCCACCCCCATGAGAAAAGAGACCTTGGTAGATTTTGTTTGCTGTTCAGTGTGTCAGACTCTTCGTGATCCCATGTGGGGTTTCTTTTGTCAAAGATACTGGAGCAAACTGAGCCAATGAGGGTTAAGTGACTTGCCCAGGGTCACACAATGTCTGAGACCACATTCGAACTCAGGAAGATGAGTCCTCCTGACTCCAAGCCCAGCGCTCTGTGCATTATGGCGCCACCTAGATGCACCTGGTAACTTTTACACACTGTCCAAGCCAGGGACAAATTGTTAAATGATGACTGCGAATAAAAACAAGGGAGGGGAGGCGTTTTGTAGACCTTAATTCAAATGCTATAGAAATGACAAGAAGCCGTCTTCCTGAGAGAAAATTATGTGCTATAAACCTGGAGCTCACTTCGGATTTCAAAGCATTCCTGTCCTAACAGGATATAGTCCCATAGAAAAAGCCCAGGCTCTCCGCTTCCCAGTCGCGGTGCAGGGGCGCCACCTCCAGGCCAGCCGAAGGGCTGCCTACCTAGGCCCCCCCCCCACAGCCCTCACCCCCTACCCCATCCTGTGCGCGCCGCTTATTGGCCAGGGAAGAGAGGAGTGAGGGGAGGGTGGGCTACGGAGAGGGCGGGGCTTAACGTCCATGGACCGTGCGCCGCGCTCGTAGCGGCTCCCCTCCTTCCCAGCCGAAGAACGCAGAGGGGGGCGGCCCGAGTGAAGTCTGTGTTCGAGCTGTGATTGGTCCACGCCCCGCTTCACGTTGGCGTTGTGACGTAAGCTGCCGGGAGGGAAGTTTTGGAGGGAAAGGCGGGAAACGGAGTTGTCGGGAGAAGAGCCGGTAATGTAAGAGCCGCTACGCCGCCCTTCCTCCCCACCTTCTCACCATCTCATCCGCTCCCCTCTACCCCATCATCGACTTCCCCGCCGCTTCTTTTTCTTCTCCCCTGGTCTCGGAATCGGGACCGAGGCCCTGAATGAAGCCCGGAGCCGGGGTCAGGGGGGTGTGGGGGATGGGGCGGGGGCGGGGCCGGAGGGCGGAGGGAGAAGCGATCGGGGATTCCCCTCCCCCCACCCCCACCCCCAAGCCATCCCGGGCTGACCCCTGGGGACAGGACCCTTGATCCAGGTGCTGTTGATCCAGGTGTTCCCCCGCCGGGCCCCTCACGGGAAAATAAGAGCAGCTGACGCTTCCTTAGCGCCTCCAAACTTTGCAAAGCGCTTTCGCCGTGGGATCTCCCTGGAGCTTCGCCGAGACCCCGAGAGGTAGGTAACGCGTGACCCCATTTTTCTGATGGGGACCCGGGCTCGGAGGGGCGAAGTGGAGGTGTCCGCGTGATCGCACAGCTCACGAGGGTCCGAGCCGGGCTTGGAGCCGGAGGCCCCACACTTAGGCCCAAAGACCCTAAAACCTGCCTCCCCGAATGCACTTCGCTGAGCGGTGTGCGTCAGGAGGGAGGCCGTCTGGTGTAGGGGCGCCGGAGCTGGGGTCCCCGGACTCTGTGACACCTTGAAGGTGGGCGGGGAAAGGTCGCCTCTTCATTTCAGTGGGGTTGGTTTGCGTTGTGACCACATGCATTTTACTTAATGCATTTAAAACCCTTCTTCTGAAAAGGGGCCGTAGCCTTCGCCAGACTGCCAAAGAGATCTGAGACACAAAAAAGGTTGGTTTAGGGGAAAGAGCACGGACCGTGCAGGCAGATGTTCCGAATGTGGATTAAGTGGGCCAGCTGTGCCTGTTCTGCAGGGAAGGACCAGGGTTCCACCCCGCATCCCCCCACCGCCACCACCCTGCGGAACCACCCAGTGTTCCTAAGGAAGTAGCTTAAGCGCTCTGAGCCGGAGTTTCCTCATTTATTAAAGGTTTAACAATATTGGAACTACTTACTTCGTATTTATTGGGAAGACCAAACGAAACCGTTTGACTTATAAAGACATATGAATGCAAGCTATCAAAATATTAAAAGCATGGCATATCGGGAAAAGTACTGGGTATTTGTAGAAGAATGCAAATTAAAGGCACTCTGAGGTTACACCTCACATCCATCAGACTAGCGAAGATGATTTTTTTTTAAGTAGAAAGCAAATAGACACATTAGTGTTCTGTTGTTGGAGCTGTGAATTGTGCTGGATGTTCTGGAAAGCAGTTTGGAACTTCACATTATAAAGTAAACTATGCATAAGTAGGCAGCTAGATGGAGCTGTGAATAGAGCACTGGGCTTGAAATCTGGAAGACCCGAGTTCGGTTTGGTCTCAGACACTTTACTATGTGACCCTGGAGATGTCAGTTTCTTCAGCTGTAAAATGAGGATAATAATAGCACCTACCTCTCAAGGTTGGTGAGGTTCAAATGAGATGATAATTGTAAAGTGCTTGGCACATAGGAAGCACTATATAAATGCTAGCTGTTATTGTTACTCTTTGGTCAAGCAATACCACTACTAGGTCTGTACCCCAAATTTCTTTATGGCTAAACAAATCATAGTATATGAATATTATTATACTATAATGAAATAGAAAGTTTCAGAGAAAACTGGGAAGACCTTTCTGGTCTGATCAAGAGTGAAGTGAGCAGAACTAGGAGAGCAATTTATACAATAACAAAAATATTGTAAAGAAAAATAATTTTGGGGGGGCAGGTAGGTAGTGCAGTAGATAGAGCACCGGCCCAGGAATTCAGGAGGACCTGAGTTCAAATGTGATCTCAGACCAGACACTTGACGCTAGCTGTGTGACCCTGGGCAAGTCACTTAACCCCAATTGCCTTGCCAAAGAAAAAAAGAAAAACAACTTTGAAAGACTTTAGAACTCTGATCAACTATACACCATGAGTTCAATGGACTGAAGATGAAAACACACCCCTACCTCGTGCCAGAAAGGTGATGGACTTAAAATGCAGAATGAAACATTTTTGGACATGGGCAATATTGAAATTTCTGTGCTGGACTAGATATATTTTTAAAAATTGTACAGTAGGGCAAGTAGAGTGGTAGAGAAAGATAATAAGTGATTTTTTAAAAATAATTGGGAGGGGAAGATCCCACAGGATTGGGATCAGAGAATATGTGTTGAATTCCTTTTGTTATTTAATATCTATGTGATCTTAGGAAAGTTTTACCTCCAAACCTCAGTTTGCTTATCTGTAAAGTGATGGGGTTCGGTGAAATTATCTCTGAGGTCTTTTTTAAATCTCCATACCCAATTATGCTAAGTCATTTCACCTTCTTGCTGTTCAATTTTCTCATCTGGGTAAGACCTCAAGGAGTAATAAGTGAGGATAGTGCTTTGTAAACTGCCTATGTAAATATGAGCCATCATTCTTATTATTATATGATGAAATGCATACTTTAATGTGTTCATTGGGTTTCAGATTTCAGAGAATGACGGAAGAGACAGATTTCACTGAGCAAGACTCTGATGGGGGTAGTGAGGAGGTGGTATTAACTCCTGCACAGCTTATTGGAAAACTGGAGCAGGTAAGCATCTCAAAGGGAACTCTGCATTAAACCTTAGTTTTATTACATATACATACTCTATTTGTGGAACCTACATATAACAGGAAGGCTAATCTCAAGAGTACAAGGACAGTCTAACCCAAGGAGTGTTCTAACATTTAACAAAATCTTTCAACTCCCCATTGCCCCACTAAAGGAATTCTTACTCCCTACCAAAGGCAATAGTGAGGAACACCTTTGGATGTATTTAATGAAACCTTTAAAGAGAAACAAAAACCCAGAGTGTTTTGTTATTTGTGATAAGTACAGAGTTAGGGCCGTAGAGGCCTTAAGAGTTCCCACGTCTTAACCTTTAATCATCCAGCTTGCAGGTCTGTGGGCTAAATTTGTTCAGCTCACTAGAGTTTTTTAGCAAAAACTTTTACCTGATTACCTAGCATATGTAAACTAAAAGGCTAGTAGGGTCTAACGATTCAGTTACTATTCATCTGACTGCTGTCAAGCATTAGCTACCAGGCTTGTATTGATTAGTAATTGTAAAGCTCTTATGAAGTCTATGCACATGGATTTCTGATTATATGGCCTACTGTTGGAAAAACTTGGTCATCTTTTAACATCTGTTGTCCTATTTTAACGTCCTTTGTGGCTCGCTAGAGAGAACTGGGGATAGGAAAACAGTGCCAAATTGTATTTTTTTTCTTTAAAAGAACATTGGCAGTTATATTCTTGGTTACTCTTGTTTCATGTTTTTCCCATAAGCTCTTTTCCCCACTGTTCATCTTCTGGAACTATTTCTGTGCCTCTTCCTCTTAACTTTTTAAAAATTTCATCCTACTGCCTTCTTCTTTATCACATGTCCCTTTCCTGAACACTCATTCTTTTCCTCTTCAGTGTCCTTTATCACTTCCTAATCTTTTTCTTGCTATGAACCTAATCATAACTAGCAGATCACCACTTCTGTAATTTTATCTTTTATGATACTGTTTGGTTCTCATACCTCTATCTTTAGCTCTAGCTTCTCTCCTAAGTTCTAGATCTGTACTTTTATCTGCCTAGTACACACAGGGATCTTAAAGTTAGCATGTCCAATTAGTCTTGGCTCCTTCCCCCAAAATGTACAGTTCCTGCTATCCTGAGTTCTATTAATGATACCATTATCTGAAATCTGTCTTTGATGCCTTTTCCTTTGACATCTACATCAAATTAGTCAGGGAGTCCTGTTAATTCTGCCTGAGAAATGTCTCTAGCATTTTGTCATTACCGTAATTCAGACCCTCATTCTTTCTTGTCTTAATATTTCAAAGCAACACAGTACAATGAAAAGAGCACTTGCACTGGAATCAGAGAGCTTGGGTTCAAATCCACCTTCAACATCTATTACATACCTGTGACCTTAGACAAGTCATTCAATCTTCCTGGGCCCTAGTTCTCTTAATGTGTATGAGATTGCCTCTGAGGTTCCTTCCGGCTCCTGAGCTATGATCCTATGAACCAGTATCCTCACTTCCAGTCCATTCTTCAACTGCTGCCACATTATCTTAATGTGGAGGTCTAATTATGTTATTCCCTTGATCAAAGGATTCCAGTAGCTCTCCATTGCCTTCCAACTAAAATTCATTCCCTTTAGCTTGGTATTCAAGCCTTTCAATAATCTGGCTCTCTTTCCAATCCTGTCTTACCATTATTTCCCTTCACAATCAGTCCTTACCATTCCCAACATGCATGACATGCATTCCATGCTTTACTAACTCTGTGACTTTATCTGTACTGTTCCCTAAGCCCAGAATAATAACATTCTTCTACACCATTTTGGAGAGCAATTTGAAACTATGTCCAAAGGGCAATAAAAATATGCATACCCTTTGACCCAGCAATAGCACTTCTAGGGCTGTATCCCAGAGAGATCATACGAATGGGAAAAGGACCCACATGTACAAAACTATTTATAGCAGCTCTTGACTGTGGTGGCAAAGAATTAGAAATTCAGGGGATGCCCATCAATTGGGGAATGGCTGAACAAGTTGTGGTATATGAATGTAGTGGAATACAATTGTGCTGTAAGAAATGATGAGTAAGCAGACTTCAGAAAAACCTGGAAAGACTTGGATGGACTGATGCTGAGTTAAGTGAACAGAACCAGGAGGAATTGTACACAGTAACAGCTATGTTGTGTGATGACTGACTTTGGTAGACTTAGATCTTCTCAGCAATGCAAAGATCTAAGACTTCTCCAAAAGTCTCATGCTGGAAAATGCTATCTATATCCAGAGAAAGAACTGTGGAGTTTAAATGTAGATCAAAGCATACTATTTGCTCTTTTTTTTCCCTTGTTTTGTTTTGTTTCTTCTTTCTTGTGGTTCTTCCTATTCATTTTAATTCTTCCTTACAACATCACTAATGTGAAAATGTCTTTAATAGGAATGTATATGTAGAGCCTATATCAGATTGTGTGCCATCTTAGGGAGGCAGGGAAGGAGGGGGAGAAATTTTAAAACTCAAAAACTATGGAAGTGATTGTTGAAAACTAAAAATAAATTAATATTAAAAAAAGAAAAACAGAAAACAATAACATTCTTCTATTTCCCTCATCCTATTTCTCTAGTTGAAAGCCTTCTATCCTTAAAGGCTTAGCTCAAATGCCATCTGTTTCATATAACTTTCTCTAATTCCTACTCCCCAAACCCCAAGCAGAAGTGATCCTTTCTTAGTATTTTTTATATTCCTCATATAATTGCATACTCCATTGGCTGAGACGTAAGTCTTATTTAGCTTTGTTTATCCCTCCATGTCTTATCATATACTGCCTTGATATTCAGATATCTGATTTTATCAATGTGACTGCCACCTCCATTAAATCAGATTGTAACTTTTACCCTCTTACAAGTTATATTAGCCAAAATATTAATTCATCATTGCCTGATAAAGTTTTCTGGTAATGAGCCTCATTCACCCACACATTGGGTACACATTGGGCCTATCATTAAAATTTATGAAGCTTGGTCCAAGGCCTTCCAGATCTTGGGCTTGGTGGCATAGTTTTCAAGAACCCAGGGTCATTTCTAGCCATGGTGAAGCAGAGAAGGGGTACCTTAGTTGAAGTCGCATGTAGTAGAGCCTTCAGTAGATGTTTGTTGAATTGAATTAAAAAAAACTCTTATAGAAACAAGTTTTAAAATTATTTGATAAAAATCACTTTTCTTTTTACTCTATCTTTGAGCGTATCTTCCTAGATTATAACCTATTTGTGGATAAATTTCATCTTTTTGCTTAATTTGATAAATTTGTAGTACTATTCTAGACCACCACAAGTACTTGATAAATTCTTGGAGAATGTTGATAAGCATTTACGTACTTAGTGTTTGTTAGTGGTATTGATTGGAAGACTAGGAATTTGGTTAAGAAAACGGGAAGAAATTAGGTCTAGTCTTCATATAATCCATAAGCTAAAATAAAATTTTAATCATTCTTTGTAATAGAAAAATCTGTCTAGATATTCATAGTCAACTATGGATGGTCAAGTATATAAATGTAGACCAACCATGCTAAATGACCCTTAGGACAGAATTAGGGCTTCTGTCTTAATGAATGAATGAGCATATTTAGGGGATGAAGTTTCCAGTGTGGTCCCTGTCACATTCTTAGGCTTTTAAAAAATTGTTTAACCTTTCATTCTGTTTTCTTACAAGTAAAACCTGCTAGTAATAGCCATTTCCTATTCACATTGTGAGGGTGTTGAGGAAGATGAATGAAAAAGTGTTTCTAAAATTCTTTGAGCTCTGTGGGTGAAAAGATATGTAAATGTACAAACTGTTATTTCAACTATGATAACAAGAGTAGTGCCACTTCATGATGGGATATTCCAGCTTATCAGGAAATGGGCCTAGTGCATAAATATCTAGAGGTAGAAGTTTTGTCACTGCTACTTGGTGAGAGGTATTATTTGGACACAGGTGGCATTACTACATAACTACATTAGTCAGAGTAAAAGGTAATGTATTTTTGAAATAAATTGTCGTTTTTGTGTATGCCAGATGTGAGATCTATGAATGCAGCTTTCAAACCAAAACCAGGAGAAAAAGGAAAATCCATCCAAGGATTCCTAAATATAGTTTTGTCTTTATAGTGTATCCAATACTTTCAACTGCTAGGAAAATAAGTTTTCTTGTGTAAGGACTCTATGATTTTCATGGTGTGGGGGCAGACACATAGCTTCAAAGTTGCCTCTACTCCTATGTGACTGTCACTCTCTCATGTCATGCTCTCATGAGTACTCATGTTATTGTGCTTTCTTCCTTAGGCCTGGCTAAACGAAAAATTTTCCCCTGAGCTACTGGAGAACAAGTGTGAAATTGTAGAATGTGTCATAGAGCAGCTGGATCATATGGTAAGAGCTTCCAGTTTCAGTTTGGTTAGTATAGGTAACCTTGGCCAGGTTTGCTTTCAGAATATCATTGGCAAAAGAGCAGGATGACATCAAAGATCTGATATTTAGCTGTTTCCAAACTAATGTTTACATCCTTCCAGTACTGCCCCTGTTTCCTCTGTCATCATCTTTAAGATTATTTGTTTGGGAATATCTGTGGCTAGCCATTGTTAATTATTAGAAGCGTGACTCATTTCTTTCTGATGATTCTTGGGTTTCAGAATTTGTACAAATAAATTCAATCCCAAAGCAAATACAAACTTGGGCATTCTGATTCTGTGCCTGAAAAAAGCTTCCTATATCCTAGAATGCAGAGGTGTTTTAAAATCATTACTGCTTTTCTTTGTAGACTACAAGTAGCCAAAAATATCTTTACACTTAGTAGCCAGGATGTTTTAATTAGAATTTGTTGTTCAATAGGAAAAGAATCTCAGACGAGCGAAGAAGGGTGATTTGAAGGTTAGCATCCACCATATGGAGGTAGAAAGAATCCGCTACGTCCTCAGCAGTTACTTGAGGTGTCGACTGATGAAGGTTAGACATTAAGATATCTTTATTAGGTCAATTTTGTATATAGCAAAAGTCCCTCAGAAGTGCATTGTAATCTGAAAGTCCTCAGGAGCAGAAAGTGCTGCTGATAGAAAAAAATCAGGTTTTCCAGGAAATAAGGAATCACACGTGAAGATTTTATGAACAAAGTAGAATAGGAGGTCATAGTTATTTGCACTAAAGGAAGGGGGAGTGATTTGATTTATTTGAGTAGAGGAGAAGCAGACTTGAAAAATTAAGTGGGATTTACCATGCAATGGAGATCAAGTAGATCATGAGACAGTTCTGACTAGAGAATTCGACATTTCAGATAGAAAAAAAAATGTCTCATAGCATAGTCAATCTTCTGAGCCCTGTGGTCATTTAGATTATATTGATGCCAATAAAAATAAGTAAAACACTTTAAGAAGATTCTGATGTTACCAGTTATCCCTCTCAGTGACCAAAGGGGGTTTCAGTTTGTGTAAGTATGTGTATCGCTTATTGAAGGTTAATGTTGGACATTTCATTTCTAATAGACATGATAAATTGAGGTGTACCTATCTTTGAAAAGAGATTTTTGATAGTGGAAGCTTGGTGAATAATAGCTTTTCTTCTCCATGACAGATAGAGAAGTTTTTCCCTCATGTCCTTGAAAAGGAAAAGACACGTTCTAAAGGAGAACCTTCCATTCTCTCCCCAGAAGAGTTTGCCTTTGCCAAAGAGTGAGTGACCAGTAAGTCATATGATCTCAGAATTGGAAGGAATTTTGGAAGTCATCTAGTCCAACCCTTACCCAGTGTGGGTCCTGACAAAAACGTTACAGACAGATGGTCTTCCAGATTCTACTTGAAGAGACACCTTTGTTGACAAGAAAATACATAGCAGTCTAGTAGACTCATTACTTTCACAAGTCAACCCATTCTATTTTTGGAAGTTTTTTTCTTCTGTTGAATTGAACTTTAACTTTTACCCATTTGGTTCTAGTAACTCACCCTGTAAACTGAGCAGAACAAGTTCAATTCCTCTTTCCCATGATAACCTTTCAAATTTTTGAATATAATCATCATGTTCCCAACTAAGTTATCTCTTCTCCAGGTTAAAAATCCTCATGCTTCAGCTCATCCCTCAGTGATATGAGTTGAGTCAAAAAATGAGAGTTCTCCTGTTATCCTACTACTCTTATCTATTTTTTTGCTGCTTCAGTAGATTCTGTGTCCTTATGGTACTCCCCCTACTGTATAGAATCTGAAGGTTGGAAAGGACCTCAGAGTCCACCTAGTTGGACCCATCCATACCTGGAAAATATCCCCTTCACAGTGTACTTGACAGGTGACCTCCACTGAAGGGCACTCACTACTTCCCAAGGTAGCCCATTCCATGTTTGGGTAGATATAGTAGTTGGGAAGTTTCTCCTTACATTAAGCCTGAATTGGTGTCTGAAAATTGTTAGCTTTTAATTTTGCCTGCTATAGCCAAGCAGATTAAGACTAATTTTCTTGCCATTTGACAGCTCTTTAAGTAATTGAAGGCAGTTCTCACGTCTACCCTGTTTTCTTCAGGCTAATAGTATTAACTTAAAAAACTAACAATATGAGGGGCAGCTAGACGGCACAGTGGATAGAGCTCTGGCCTTGGAGTCAGGAGAACCTGAGTTCAAATCTGACCTCAGACACTTGACACTAGCTGTGTGACCTTGGGCAGGTCACTTGACCCTGATTGTCTTACACACACACAAAAACCTGACAATAGAATTTAGCTTTGTAGAGGCAGTTGATGGTTCAGTGGATAGAAGAATAGGCCTACATTCAGAAAGACCTGAGTGCAGATCTGGCCTCAGACACTTAACTAGCTGTGTGACTCTGGGTAAGTCACTTAACTTCTGTCTGTCTCTGTTTCTTCATCTGTAAAATGGAGATAACAATAGCACTTACCTCTTATGGTGGTTGTGGAGATCAAATGAGATAACATTTGTAAAAGCACTTAGCACAGTGCTTAGTAGGCTTTCTATAAATGTTTATTCTCTTTGCCCTTCCCTATAGTCTAAAAACTTTTCCTAAAAACTTTGTCCTACTTGTCTGTCACTGTTACTATAGAAACAGGAGGCTGTACAGGGTGGAGTAACATTTTCTCTTTTTTATGTTTCATGAGTTGCTGTGGCACCTGAAACTTTTTCATTTGAGTAGAAATTGTCAAAGCTTGACTGTTCTGGCATAGCCTTTGAGAGCCTAGTGTCCCCTCCACCTTTTTTTTTTTTTTTTGAGACTGGCTCTCCCAGGCTCCATGGCTACTTATAGATTCACGTGGAAGGTTGACCTCAGTTTCCAACCTGGGAACCTGGGTTGGTTTGCCCCTCCTTAGGTAGACAGGAGGCCTCTTGCTCCCAGGGGCTTCACACATTGTTGCCAGACTTAGTGCAGACATCTAATTGGCAGCTCGGAACTCCTAGCACAGGTGATCCATCAGCCTCAGTCTCCTCAGGAGCATATACTACCACATCCAGTTCTCATACACATCATGAAGGATTTGTGGAGTATTTTGTGCTTTATCTCTCCTGAAATTTGGTGCTCATAGCTATGTACAATATTTCAGGTGTAATCTGAACAACAGAGATTAGGCTGAGCCTATCACCTCCCTTGTTCTGGAAACTATGATAATTCATATACCTGGTGAGATTTACTCCCAGCAATCTTGTGAAATAAGTGCTATTAAAGCAGCCTAAGATCAAGTCAGTCACTTTTTCAGTCATCCCATAATACATTTGAGCTTGAAGTCTATTAAAACCCAGACTCGGCAGGGAGGGATTTAAAAAATGAACTACTGGGGGCATATGGGTAGTGCAGTGGATAGAGCACCAGCCCTGGAGTCAGGAGGATCTGAGTTCCAATTTGGCCTCAGACATGTGACACTCACTAGCTGTATGACTCTGGGCAAGTCACTTACAACTAAATTGACTCACCAAAAATAAAACAAAAAAATGAACTGCCAGCTCTCCTCCATCTTATACTGTTGATATTTTGAGCCCCAGTGCTAGACTTTATGTTTATTGCATATTATTAGTTTGATTCTCTATTCTAACCTACCAAGATATTTTTGGACCTCACATCTGTCATCCATCATATTACATATCTCCCTCAGATTCATGTTACTTAAGACATTTAATAAACATGCCATCTATGTTCCATACAAATTGCTGGTCAGAATATTGAACAGAACCAGACTGAAGACATAGGTTCTCATTACCCCTTTGGTCATCTATACTCTTGAGGTGAAATCTGTTAACCTGTTCCAAGTTCACCTAACTGTTTTATAAGCTAGTTTAACTCTCTATGCATAAAGATATTGTGAGCATCTGTTAAATGCTTTGTTGAAATTCAGATACAGTGAGTATAGTATTTCTCTGATCTCCCAGTCCAGTGATGAAGCCAGAAAAGAAAATGAGTTTGTTTTAGGATGGCTTGTTTTTGAGTCAGTTAGCAAACACACACACACACACACACACACACACACACACACACACACACACACACACACACACAGTGATAGGCATGATGCTGAATCTGGGGGACACAAAGAAAGGCAAAAACACATTCCCTGCCTTCAAGGAGTGCGTGTTTTAGTGGGGGAGACAACATGCCAACAAGCTTATACGTTACGGATATATATAGTGTAAATACTGAGGAGTCCACACTGATTGGTAGTGATCACTATTCCCTAAGTCCTCATAACTCACTCCTCTACTGCTGGAATTTCACCAGATATGAATTCTAGCTCACAGTTCCATAGTTTGAAATAATCACTTTCCATTTTTTGCAATACCTCTTTTGTTTTCCACATATTCTCGGATGTCATTGACAAGACTTTAGCAATTATATATGCACAAGTTCTTTGGATATTCTAGGATATATTGCAGTTTATCTTGGCCAGCCAAATGACTTGAACTTGCTAAAGGTAGATGCTCTCATCGTCTTCCTCAGTCTTAAGATTCATTTTCTCATTGACCTTTTAAATTTTGTCTTTCCTGTTCTGAGGATCATTCTTCTTATTACTGAAAATGAACAAAATAGGTGTTTAGTTCTACCTTATGTCCAAAATCGTCATCTTACCAACTCTAAGAAATAATCCATTTCCTTTTACCTTCTTGTTCTCTATATAGCTAAAAACCCCTTCTTGTTCTTAACAATCATTGTTTGATTTGACTGGATTTTATCCCTCCCTAAAGCTATCTTTTTAGAATGGTGTCACACTATTATATTATGTTCTTCAATTACCAGGCCTTCCAACCCTTATGCTAGATATGTCAGAAGATAACCTGGCTAATCAGACCAAAGTTTTGTGGAACTCTGAAGCTCTGTTAAGTACCTAAGGAGTACATTGCTTATAAATTTGATAAACGGCAGTTCTTTCCTATTACCTACATCATAAGAGCCAAATTTGCATATTTCAGGTACATGGCCAACATGGAAACCTTTCTAAAAAATGTGGCCTTAAGGCACATGCCTCCTAACCTGCAGAAGGTGGATCTCCTAAGGTCAGGTAAGTGAAACCTCTCTTTTCAAGAATAAATAGTGAAAAATACTTGCTTCTCAGATCTTTTTTTTTTTAACTTCACAGCAAAAGCAAAAAAAAAAACCAAGGAAATTATTAGAAACTTTTGTCTAACTATATTTCCATAAAACTGAAAACTTAAATAGATGCAGTTAGAAAAATACATAAAATACCCAGATTAGTGGAACAAGAAATAGAGAATTTAAATAACCTAATTGCAGAAACTGAGTAAATCACAAATGAACTTCCAAATAAAAAAATCCTCTCCCTATTCCCTCCTGTTTCTCTGTTGAGTTTAATATATTTATGTACCAAAGCCTGTGTTTGTGTTCTACCTTCCTTTGACCAGTTCAGATGAAAGTGAGGTTCAAGTGATGCCTCCGCCTCCACCCCTCATTAAAGATCCATTTTTTCCCTCCTTTTTCTGATCAAGTCTTTCTTGCTTAAATTCCTCTTTTGCCTTTTGTAATGTTATATTCCAAGTCCTCTTCTCGTTTATGGTGGTAACTGCCAGATTGTATGTGAATCCTGACTGTGTCTTTGTACTTGAACTCTTGCTTTCTGGCTACTTGTAGTGTTTTGTTTTGTTTTGTTTTTCTTTAACCAGGTTTTACTTATGATATTCCTGGGAGTTTTCATTGTTGGGTTCCTTTCAAGAGGTATCCAATGGATTTGAAATATGATATCCATGTTCCTTTTTTCTCATGGTTTTTAGGGAGTATATCTCCTCAACCTATTTTCCAGGTTGTTTTAGTAGGCAGGGAAGGGGAAGGAGCCAGGCATTTATTAAGCACTGAGAGTGTGCTGTGCATTTTACAGATATCCTATTTGATGCTCACAGCAACCCTGGGAGGTAGGTGCTATTATTATCCCCCATTTTACAGCTGAGAAAACTGAAGCATGAAGATTAAGCAATTACCCATTGTCACACAGCTAGTGAATGTCTGAAGATTTAAACTCTGGTCTTCTTAATTCTAGGCAACATGCTCCTATACTGCTTTGCTGCTGCCCCCAACCCATAGCTGGAAGGCTATGCAGGTTCCCAGGGACAGAATTGTAGGCTTGTCCTTGGTTGACTCTCGGCCCGCATTATTTAGCTAATATGCCTGCCTAAGTCTATGGGCTGAGTCCATGATCTTGCCCCAAGGCTACAGTGTCAGAACTGTAAGCCCAGCCCAGGTACTTATTATCTTTCCAAAAAAAGCCTGGTAATCCTAATTTTCTCTCTCTTGCCTATCATCAAGATTTGAATAGGCAGAGAGGAATAGAATAGAACAGAGAGGGAATTCTAGGCAGAGGAATGATGCAGAGGCAAGAACACACATGGTACATGGGGCTTTTCTAGGCTCCATTTGCATTCCTTAGGATTGATTGGTAATTCTCGTGGTTAATTATGAGATAAGGTAACGCTCACTTCTATCTGCCTAGTCATGTTTTAAAAATAACAATTTTATACATTTTTGGCATAATTTTATAATTTTAAAGTCATTGGACTAATTCTCACTTGTACCAGCTCTTTTCCCAAATCTGGCAAAACTGAGTATTTTCATATTTTACCATCATTGCCAGTTTGGATGTGAAATGCTATCATGAGTGTTTTAATTTGGACTGCTATGATTATTAGTGATTTTGAGCATAATTCTGGGCTGTCTCTGACTCAGGCTCTTTAATAATGTGTGTGGGGGTGTACACACACAAACACACATACACACATATGTACATATATACATGTTTATATGCACACGTGTGTGTATACACCCTTGTACTGTTCTTAAGAACACCCAATGTTTCATGGATATTTTTGTTATCAAATTTCTACAAAGTTGCTTTTCATATATATTTTTTCCTGAATTCTTTATTCAGCCATCTTTTCTAGGGCAGATCTTCCTGTAGTCATTCTGAACCATTCTGAAGATTCTTTGGGAATGTCCATGTTTTGTTTTAGAGGTGTAGTTATTGTAGTCTTATTTCCTTCTGGATATTTCTCCTGTTTTTACCCTATATCATTTTCTTCATTGTATTTAGGACATTTTTGCTTATTCATTATTTTAATTTTTTTTCTCTTATTTTTCTTGGAAATTGTTTCCTGAGAGGGTTTCTTTTCCCTTCTAATTTTTTATTTGGCATTGCTTTTAGGGTAGTGCAGAGGGACTAGAGTCTCAACCATTTGCACATATCTTTTACAGAACCTAGTGCCATTAGTGCTCAGTAAATATTTTTTTGTTTTGGGGGGTTAATAGTAGTATTTTTTCCCCAATTATATGTCAGAACAATTTTGAGTGTTCATTTTTACAAGATTTTGAGTTCCTGATTTTTCTCCTTCCCTCTCCTCCCCCTCTTCCTAAAATGGTAGGCAATTTGATATAGGTTATATATATTCAATTATGTAAAACATTTCCATATTAGTCACAGTTGTGAAAGAAGAAACGGATCAAAAGGGGGAAAAAACATGCAAAAAATAAAGTGAGAAAAGTACACTTTGATCTTTCAGAGTCCATCCATTCTTTATCTGGATGTGGATAGCATTTTCCTATGTGAGTCCTTTGTACTTGTCTTGGATCATTGTATTGCTGAGAAGAGTTAAGTCATATATGGTTGTTCATCACACAGTGTTGCTGATACTGTGTACAATGTTTTCATGATTCTGCTCATTTCACTTTGCATCAGTTCATACAAGTCTTTCCAGGTCTTTCTGAAATCTGCCTGCTCATCATTTCTTATTGCACAATAGTATTTTGTTACATTCATATACCACAGCTTGTTCGGCCATTCCCTAGTTGATGGGTAGGTACCCTTTCAGTTTCCAATATTTTGCCACCGCAAAAAGAGCTGCTGTAAATATTTTTGCATATGTAGGTTCTTTTCCCTTTTTTGTTTTTTGGGGGTCTTTTTGGTTAGGCAGTGGGGTTAAGTGACTTGCCCAGGGTCATACAGCTAGTGTTATGTGTCTGAGGCCGGATTTGAACTCAGGTCTTCCTGGATCCAGGGCCGGTGCTCTATCTACTGCACCACCTAGTTGCCCCTCTTCCCCTTTTTATGATCTCTTTGGGATATAGACCTAGTAGTGATATTGCTTGGGCATAGTTCTAGATTGCCCTTCAGAATGGTTGGATTAGTTCACAACTCCACCAGTGCATTAGTGTCCCAATTTTCCCACATCCTCTCCAACATTTATCATTTTCTTTTTCTCCCATATTAGCCAATCTGATAGGTGTGAGGTGGTACCTCAGAGTTGTTTTAACTTGCGTTTCTCTAATCAGAAGTGATTTAGAGTACTTCTTCATATGACTGTAACCAGCTTTAATTTCTTCATCTGAAAATTGCCTGTTCATATCCTTTGACTTTTTATCAACTAGGGAGTAGCTTGTATTCTTATAAATTTGACTCAGTTCTCTAAATATTTGAGAAATGAGGCCTTTATCAGAGACACTTGCTATAAAAATTGTTTCCCAGCTTTCTGCTTTCCTTCTAATCTTGATTGCATTGGTTTTGTTTGTGCAAAAACTTTTTAATTTAACGTAATCAAAATTACTTGTTTTACATTTTGTAATGCTCTCTATCTCTTTTTTGGTCACAAATTCTTCCCTTTTCCATAGATCTGACAGGTAGACTATTCCTGGCTTTTCTAATTTGCTTACAGCGTCACCATTTTGACCTTATCTTGGTATACAGTCTGAGAAGTTGGTCTATACCTAGTGTGTGCCCTGTTGTTTTCCAGTTTTCCCAGCAGTTTTTGTCAAATACTTCTTATCCCAGAAACCATGGTTTTGGGTTTATTAAACACTAGGTTACTGTGGTTGTTTACTTCAGTAAATACTTGTTGAATGAGTGTGTGAGATGTATATGGAATATGGGAAGGATATTTTTTCATATTGTCTTCATAGGCTTTGTCTCCCCTTTTCATACCATTAATCATTCATTGTTTTTCCGGCAGTTCCCAAACCTGATTTAGATTCATATGTGTTTCTGAGAGTGAAGGAAAGGCAAGAAAACATTTTGGTAGAGCCAGAGACAGATGAACAAAGGTAGGTAACTTAGTTATGACAGTAACAAAAAGTCATTTTCTTAAGAAAAACAGCCATGTTCTAGTCTTCCTACAAATCTGTATTGTTTTTGTTTTTGTTTTTTTCAGTGAATATGTGATTGACTTGGAGGAAGGCTCTCAACACTTGATCAGATACAAAACCATTGCACCTTTAGTAGCTTCTGGAGCTGTACAACTGATTTAAAACTAAAAAGAACTGGTAACAAAGCTATGTGGTCAATGAAGAGATCACTGGCATATGTTAGAGAATCCTGATCTGTTTTTGCTAATGATAATTGTGACATTTATGCAGATATCTCAAACTTTTTTCAATAGGGCTAATGGACTCTATGGGACTGAAAAAAGGAAGGTAGAAATTCTAATATTATAAATCTCCTCCTGCTGTTTTATCCCTTTGTCAGCAGATGGGGCCATTGCTCTCTTGTGGACCATCAGGGACTGTTTACCAAATGTGTGTCAGGTGATAGTGTTTACACCTGTACAAAGGAACCGTTACTAGTAGGTAGGAAGAATAAGTGTATTATGAGGCTAGTAGGATTGTTTTGTTTTGTATTACTTACTGGACCAGCACAATATAACTAGATGTATGTAGGCATTGTGGCACTTATTTTAGAATATAAGACCCTTTTGGGAACAAGCCCATTCTTTTGCGAAGCTCTCTTTTGTAAACTACAATAATGCATCCACATTCAAAAATATTTCTAACATGCTCAACTAAGAACCTTAGCAAAACAAAAAATATTAGCAAAAAAAAAGAGTATTGTATGTTTCATTTTTGTAAAAAAAAAAAAAGTCCCTTGAGTCTTAAAAGGCATAATTATTTTGTTGCAAGACTAAAGCCCTCAGTCTTGAGCTACTTTGGCTGTGCTCTAATTTAGAGAGTCATGGGAATATCAATTCACTGACATCACATAGCCACTTTCCAAGCCGGTTCTGCTCTTGCCTTTATTCCCATGGGAAATAGCTCAAGATGAACCTAATGTTGGTCGGGAAGGAATAGAGAGTGCCGCATCACCAGCTTCACATAAATATATATGTCTGACAGTTTTAAAAGTATATTTATTAGCTAACCCTTGAAGTTTTTATAGAAGTGTATATTTTCCAAAGTGCTATGACACTTAATTTGGCCTTCACAGCCACCTTCTGAGGTAGCTAGGGTCGGCACCCCCATATTAGAGATGAGTTAACCAGAGAGGTTGACATGCCTATTACAGCTAGTCAGTAATAGACTTGTGTCTACAGTCCGTGTCTCTTGACTCTTAACTAGCCAAGTCAGGACTTTCAGATCTAAATGTCGTCAATTTCTATCATGCTCCTGACAGACTGCACGTAGCTATGGTTTCCCCTAAAGCGGATTGCCTCATTCCCTGGGGTAGTTCTGAAGATGATGATTTAGAAGCACAAATTAAAAGTAAAAAGGAAGTTGCATTTCAAAATGAAGTTGGATAGGAAATGATGTGGCATAGCTGAGTTGGTGCTTTGATGTGCAATGGAAGGGAGGAAGAGTTGGTGGATTTTTCAATCACTCTGTTATAACCAGTGGGGGTACGATAAAGTTCACTGCATCATTTTCTCAACAGTTGTTGAGCACAAATTTCTTCCTGGAAAGAGTGCATTTGATATGATTGAGAACCAGAAGCTTTGGCAACCTCATATACACATAGTCCCTCATAAGGGAAGGAGGGGTTTTCTTTTCTGCCCTTCTGACAGGGGTTTTCAGGGAAGGCATTTTAGTCATTTCCTAAGTGCTGGGTAACTTGTAATGAAACTCAGACTGCTTTTTACCTGCCATTTTCTTGGCTGCCAGCCATGACTTACTGTTGAACCTTTGTAAAGTACTGTGATATATGAAAATGTGTTGATGAAGTAATGAGTGATTTTTTAAAAAAGAAATATACCAAGGCTCACACATGCACATGAGTGTTTTCATTCGAAGTAGTCACCGTAAAAGGCTGTCTATTTTAATGTTGATGTTGTTTGGTCATTTCAGTCTTGTCCAACTCTTTGTGACCCCATTTGGGGTTTTCTTGGAAAAAATACTGGAGTGGTTTGCCATTTCCTCCAGCTCATTTTACAGATGAGGAAACTGAGGCAAACAGGGGTAAATGACTTGCCCAGAGTCACGCAACTAGTAAGTATCTGAAATCATATTTGAATTCAGGAAGACAAATCTTCCTGATTTCAAGCCCAGTACTACTAGCTGCCTCTTTTTTTTTTAAGGCAGTTGGGATTAAGTGACTTGCCCAGGGTCACACAGCTAGTAAGTGTCAAGTGTTTGTTCTGAGGTCACATTTGAAATCAGATCCTTCTGACTTCAGGGCCAGTGCTGTGTCCACTGCACCACCTAGCTGCATCTTACTGTTGCTGCCGTTAGACAAAACATTTTTGGAATTGTCTCCATTGACAGTTTATGAGCTACATTTAGCATCCCATTTATAGCCATTTCTCATAAGCTTTACAGCTAGAAGCAACCTTTGGGGTCTTCTAGTCAAGTTCATTTTACTAAGACCAAATAAATTAAATCACTTGCTCAGAGTAACACAGGTAGTTTGAAACTCAGGTTTTTCTGACTTAAAATACCATGTTCTTTCTGATATGCAGACTACTACCCCCTCATCATGTCATTTATCAGAAACCTGTATTTTACAACTAAGTCATCATTCAACTAGCATTTCCCTCTACAAAGTTACCAGCGATCTCTTAACTGCCACATCTAATGGCCTCGTTTCCATCTTGGTCTTCCTTGGCCTCTTGTCAGCATTTGACACTATCATTCACCTTCTAACTACTTCTGTGAGTTTTTGTGACACTGCCTTCTTCTGTTTCTCCTGTGGAGCTAACCACTCTTCAGTTTCCTTTGTTAGTTCATTAATGCCATGCCCACTATCCATGGGTGTTCACAAAGGTTCTGCCCTGGGTCCTCTTCCTTTCTCTTTATATCTGGTTCTTAATCTGTAGTCCATGGACCCTTCAAGGTAGACAAGATAGATTTCAAGACATTTATGAACTTGGGTGGGAAAATTATTTCTGTATTTTCACCAGCCTCTAACTGAAGTTTAGCATTTCCTTCATTTATTTAAAAACATTCTAAGAGGTGGTCCATGACACACAAAAGGATAAGAACCTCTGCTTTATAGAATCTTACTATTACCTCATCAGCTCCCGTTGGCTCAGTTATCATTTCTGTGCAGATAATTAGCAGCTTTATATAGCTATCCCTGGTCTCTATGCTAAGCCACAGTCACATATCTCTAAATACCGCTTGGATATCTTGAACTAAATATCTCATAATACTCTGGACCTCAGAAATGTCCAGAGTAGAGCTTACCTTTTCCTCCCTCCCTTCTGAACTTCCCTATTACTGTCAAAGGCACCACCTCCCATTCAGCCAGGCCTGTTGACCTCAGTGTCATCCTTGACTCCCCACTGACCCCACATATGCAATCCATTGCCAAATCTTGTAGTTTCTACTTTCATAGCATCTCATGTTCATCCCCCTTCTTTCCACTCACAAAGCCACCATGCTGATGCAGGCTTTCATCACCTCATGCCTAGACTATTGCCATGGTCTCAATTGGTCTTCCTCAAGTCTCCCCACACCAATCCATCTTCCGCTCAACTGTCAGAATATAGCTCTGGCCATTTAACTCTGCTTCCTGCACAGTGCCCACCTCCCCCCTTCCGTGTTGATTTCCAGTGGTTCGCTATTACCACTCAGGATCAAATGTGAAGTCCCTTGGCATTAAGAGTTCTTTATAATGTACTCCTTTCTACCTTTCCAGTCTTCTTACGTTTTATTCCATTACCCCTTCAATCCAGCTACACTTGTCTACTTGCAGTTCCTCAAATTTGACGCTCATCTCCCATCTCTGTGCTTTAACACTGATGGTCCCCAGAACTTGGAATGCTCTGCCCCCTCACTTCCACCTCTTAGTTTCACTGGCTTCCTTTAGGATGACTCAGATCCAAACCTCTCCCCCTTCATCCTCCAGATGCTAATGCCGTCTGTGTATCTAGTGATTTACATGCCACCTCCCCTACCGGAATGTATGCCCCTTGAAGACAGATGTGTTGTTTTTAACTTTGTATCCCTAGTGCCTGGCTCATAGTAAGTGTTAGTAAATGCTCGTTGAGTAACTTAATCACCCTAAGAAGATAAGCTGTTGCTGTCATTGAAGTTATTCAGTAGAGAACTGAAGCCAAGAGGAGTTTTTTAAAATGCCAGTGGTCACAGAATTCACAAAAGCTGAAAGGTCATCTAAGCTGACCCCTGACTTGAACTGGAATCCTCACTGCAACATACCCCATGTTAGTATCTAGTCTCCACTTGAAGACGTGTTCTTCAAGTGGCTATGTAGCCTCTACCTGAAGATGTCCAGTGATGAGGAGCTCACTGCCTTTGTGAAGCCTGCTGTTCTACTCTCAGGTAGTTAGGATGATTAGCAAAATTTTTCTTATTAAGTTGAAATCTGCCTCTGCAACCTCTATCCTTTGCTCCTACCTTTGTATGTTCTAATGCCCCTTAGAATATATCTAGGGGGCAGCTAGGTGGTGCAGTGGATAGAGCTCCAGTCTTGGAGTCAGGAGGACCTGAGTTCAAATCTGGACTCAGACACTTACTAGCTGTGTGACCCTGGGCAAGTCACTTAACACCAATTGCCTAAAAAAAAAAAAGCAATTTCCATTTGGGGGCAGCTAGATGGCGCAGTGGATAAAGCACTGGCCTTGGAGTCAGGAGCACCTGAGTTCAAATCCAGCATCAGACACATAACATGCACTAGCTGTGTGACTCTGGGCAAGTCACTTAACCCCATTGCCTAGCCAAAAAATAAATTAAAAAATAAAAAAGAACACATCTTGTCCATCTGTCTTACATATGACAAGCCTTACTATATTTGATAATAGCTGTCATGTAGGGATCATAATACCTTATGCTGCAACTTACCTTGCACCGTTAAAGAAAGAACTTAGTAAACCAATATTAGCTTCAACCATTTTGAGCCTATTTCTTTAGATGACCCCACCCACCCAGAGAGTCATGAGAGAGGTTTTTTTTTCCTTAGATCTGCATATATTCTGCAAAAGATAAGGGCTAAACTAACAGCAGAACTGACGTCAGTGAACAACTGATAAATCTGATGAAGCTTCCTTGCATTTACCACTTCATGCTATGCTTGCATAACTGCTTCTTCAAACAGGAATATGTTAACCACTAGGTTTCCTTAAATGACTTTGCTTCTCATTCAGGAAACCTGCAATTAGAGGCCACCTGGCTTTGCTGTTGATGGTAATCAAGAGAGCATTTATTAAGGAACTACTGTGTGCCAGGCACTGCGTTAGGCACTGGGTACATGAAGACAAGAAAAGTCCTTTTCCTCAAGCTTATGTCCTGGTGAGGGAAACAAGATGGGTGTTCCAAGGGCAGCTAGGTGGCACAGTGGATAGAGCACTGGCCCTGAGGTCAGGAGTACCTGAGTTCAAACCCGGCCTCAGACCAAAACACTTGACACTTACTAGCTGTGTGACCCTGGGCAAGTCACTTAAGCCCAATTGCCTAAAAAAAAAAAAAGATGGTGTTCCATTCTTTAAATTGGAAGGTGTGGACTTCTTAGCAATATATGCATTGGCAGCTAAGGACAAGCTAAACTCACTGAAAAGAAGGCAGTTTCATGGCTACGAGTTGTCCAGCAAAAATGTCCACATCCACCATGCCTTAGAGGAAGGGAAGAAAAGGATTTTCAGCAGTTATGGTTACCCCCTTTGCCATATCATATACTCAAAGCTTGAGCCTACTTTCTCCTGGATTCTGTATGTACTTGTGGAGAAGTGTGCTTCAAGGTTTGGAGTGGGGGAAGTAATGTCTTATCCTGTTCTTACAAGTAAATACCTGGATTTTTTAAATATATTTTGTAAACTTTTTATTCATTTTTAACTTAAACACAAAACAAGGGGGGAAAAGTTCCCATGTACACAGCACAACGTAAAGGATTCAATTAAAACCATAAATTTCCATTTCAAACTATTTACTTCTTTTTGAAAAACTATGGAATAAATACTACATATTGTTTTCAAAGCTACATAGCTTTTCTGTTCTTCCTTCTAAGTTTTCTTTTGTTCTTTGCTGTGCACTACTTTTCCTCCCTCCTACCCTGCCCTAGAGAAGGCTACAATTAAACATGAATATATGTACACATGTATACATATATTTGTGTGTGTATATATTACAATTAAATACAAATACATATGTGTGTATAAACATATACATGTATGTATATACATGCATATGTATGTGTGTGTATGAACATATATATACTTCTGTTTATCACTTCTTTCTCTGGATTTTCCTTCATAAGTCCAAGTCTTTGCATGTTTGGTTTTTTTGTTTTGTTTTGTTTTTTAGTGAGGCAATTGGGGTTGTGACTTGCCTAGGGTCATGCAGCTAGTGAGTATTATGTGTCTGAGGCTGGATTTGAACTTGGGTCCTCCTGACTCCAAGCCCGAAGCTCTATCCACTTCGCCACCTAGCTGCCCCTTCCATGCTTTTCTAATCAACCAGCTCATCATTTCTTATAGCAGAGTAGTATTCCATCACAATCATATACCACAATTTGTTTAGCCATTCCCCAATTGAAGGGCATTCATCATTTTAGCCAATCTGATAGGTGTATGATGATATCTCAAAGTTGATTTAATTTGCATTGCTCATATCAATAATGATTTTAGAGCATTTTTAATATGACTATATGGTTTTGATTTCTTCATTGAAAAACTACCTGTTCATATCCTTTGACCATTTTTCAGTTGGGGAATGGCATGTATTCTTATAAATTTGACAGTTCTTTATATATTTGAGAAATGAGATCTTTATCTGAAAGACTGTCTAATATTGGCTTCATTGGGTTTTATTTGTACATG